TCTATAAAATGAATTTGTTAAAAAGGTTGTCTTTTAAAAACGATCCAAAAAATAATACTTATTTTTTAAATTAGTTTCTTATATTTTCTTATGTTCTCTAAGCCCACTCCTTACTGTAGAGATAGTGAGTACATCAACGTCAATGTTGCGTTGCCATTCTTGTGCTGCTCCCTCCTTTCGCCTTCGTGTTGTTGCTGCTGTTGTGTCACGCCCTCCGCCATGAGGAAACATTTTTGCGTAGAAATTACATATTGTTTCGTTTTCACATCCCAGCAACCCGATCCCCCAACCCCACCCACCTTGCCACCTTACCACCTTACCAACTTGCCCCGCCGTGTTTTTGGTAGCTTGGTTACTCGGCTGCTAAACCCCTGCTTTCCGCCGCCGTTCTTCTTGTATTTTTATGGGTCGTCATCCATCGTTGTTCTGGCAAGCGCCTGTGGAAAGCCCCTGGCCCTCCATTTCCACCTCTATCTCGTACATCTCTGTACTCCACCTCCCGCATCGACAGGGCATCGCTTTCTGCTCATCAAAGCACAAAAACATCCAACGGCGGCTGCCTCAATTATGTTAATTATGAATTGCTCCCCGGCTGTCCCTGTGCGAGTACGGGTTTTTGTTTTGGTTTCGAATGGGATGGGATGGTATGGTATGGTATGGGATGGGAGGGGCCTTTGCTTCAAGTAAAGCTGGGAGCGCAAGTCAAGCGGCTAAGTGGGCTTTTGGGTTAGCACCTGGTGGTGGAGTGGAGGTCGTCGACGGTGTAACCGAAATTCGAGAGCATTTCGCCAACTTGATTTGAGCCATTGCCAAAAATTGATTCATCTCCGCTCGCTTGATGATCTTTTAATGGTCCATAAACCTAATTTAAGACCTCTGCCTCTCAGGAGATCACATGGCAATGAACTTTAGCCAGCCAAATTCCGCCGAGAGTTCAATCTTTCGTTAAATTATCTAATGAGCTGGCGAGATTACTTATATAGTTCGCGAAAGCAAATGTGATTAGGTGGCAAATGTTTGTTTTGGCTCGTAAAAGTTAATGATGTTTTGATATGAAGGTAAAATTATGAAAACGAAATGGTTCAATATGGTTTTATATAATGAGATTAATGAAGGAAAATGGTACTAAATATTCCATATATTCCTTTCCAATCAACTTAATTGCGATATTTACAAACCATTTTTAAGAACAATATAACAGCTACATTTTTCTTATCCCATATTTTTATGTCAACCCGCATTTAACTCCTTTGTCCTCTTTCTTTTAAATGAAATTTATCGCAGATTCAGCTGGAACAGCAACAATAGATCATGGAACAGCCGCTGAGACCGCAATATTCCCCGGCTTACTTCAATTTTATCCGCCACTGGAGAATTTCGTAATTTCCAAATCACAATATTAATGCAGGCCCCCTCCTTTCCCCCCTTTCCCCTGCAACAATGGAAAAAATGTTGTTGTTGTTTTGTTGCAACCCAAGGAGCGAGAGCTGGAAAAGTGGCTGCGCTGCTTCTTTCTTTTTTGGGAAACCTTTTAACAATGGGAAACTTGCCCAAACCGACGTCGACGGAACTGCGTCCAAACTGCTGCTGTTGCTTTTGTTGCTGTCTCTGTTCGCAAGCCGGAAGATATTTCAGACTGGCTTGCAACCGGGCCTTTAAAAGGGGCTAAGGGGACGGTGGGGTTTGGCTGACTGGGTGCCGCTGCTGGCGGGTTCCATGTTTAGACAGAAACAAGTTTTATGCTTTGGCAATGATGACGCTAGAGCACTGACTCCAATCCCGACTCACCGACTCTCTTGGGCTCTCTGACCAGTCCAGTCCATCGGCTTCTGTGGCCAGCAGCTGCCTTTTGTTGTTGTTCTTGGCCTACACCACTCTATTCCCCCCTTTTAGGCCGCCTTCCCATTGCGATTCCCGGCCCAAAAACCAGACCCGGTCTCTGCTCCCGAACACACTTGGTATTGTATGGTTCAGTGGTGGTGCTGCGGTGCAGCCGCGTTGTGTAGTTTTGAACTAGTTGCGTTGCGGCGTTTCAAATCAAGTCGAACCATTTCGCCGGCCTAGAGATGGGAGAGAACTTTTAAATAGGTTTAGGAAAGAACTATGAACGGTTAAAATCATATAATAATGAACTTAATCTTAATCGTCTTAAAGAAATCAAATGACAAATTACAAAACTAAATCTATAAAATTTATAATAGGAAAAAGATACCGACAATTTCTTAAATCTTATCTCAATGTCATGTTAAATTTTGTCTTTGAATTAAATTGTTTTGTTCGAAAACATTAAACAATATCTGTAAATATTTGTCAGACCGAATTTCCTACTGAATCGTTTGTAAACTTAACATCACATTGAGAAATGGAATTGGGTTTATCAAACAATATAACTTTAAGTTAACCCTCTCTATCAGAAAACTTAATAGAATAATAGTTTTCAAGAATAGAAGCAAAATCTAAAATATTAAGTGAATTTATTTGATTTAAACCAATGCACATTCATCTCGATCTCACGATCTAGATCCGCAACCATCTCTAATCCAATCATTCCGCTTCCACTGCCCACCAATCCGCCTCATACATAGTTCACCCATTACCCCAGCACCTCTGCACCCCATTCCCCTGAGGTCTGTCGCACTTTTTGGTACTGTTCACAATTTGGAAATTAACTGGTTTGGTTGTTTTTGGCCCGGGAATCCTGTCTGGGCCGCAACGCTTTCTAGCCATTTGTATTGTTCGACGGCGTCGAGACGGACAGCTCTATATATATTCCTATATATATATAGTATGTGAAGGATAAAGTGAGCTTAAAGTTTTCCTGGGCTCACTTTTAGTTGGTTCTTTGGGGGCGTTGAGGTTTTCGACCGGACCGTCTGGGATTGCCCCCGAAAAACTTTTACCAGCCGAAAAGTGGGCGGTTACGCTTAGAAAGGGGTGTAGAAAGGGGGGTTGTTGGGCGGAAACTGGCTGGTGGAAGTCGGCCATTCAGCCGCGACAGGAAGACAGCTCAGGAAGGAAGTTCATTTTGTGCAACTTAACGCTTTTCTCCCTCTCTCTTTCTCTTTCTGGTTTTGGGAGCATGTCTGGCCTGCATCCTCCCCTCCTTTCATTTTGAATAGGCTGCGGAGATCAGATATGAAACCTGATGACCGGTTAAGATATAAAAGAGTGGCCGTCTGCATAATAGGCATGTAAAATAAGCTAATCGTGCAATAAAACTGATGTAGTGTTTAAAATAAAGAAAAGATTCATACAAAAACTGGTTTGTTTTAATAGAGTTAGGATTAATAAAATAACACATAAAGTTTGGATATAGGTTATTATCTTTTCTGCAAAAGATTAACTTTTCTTGAGCTCCTAAAATCACTAAAAATAGGGTTAGTTTACTTATAAAAGATGATTTATCCTAACTGAAAATTTCAATATAATTTCCATCCGCATTTGTGCTTATGCTCCTCTTGTTTTTGCCGCATCCTTTTTCTCCGCAGCTTGCTGCAGTGCATTTGTGCCAAAAGCAATTTGAAGAATTTCTTATCGGAATTTATGATCCTCCGCACCTTGGAGCACATAAATCAAACCATAAACTAGAGACAGTCGCAGGAACATATGCGGCTATGATGGACCACGCCATGGAGAGCGGTTGGCAAAAATTTCTGGCCACTAATCCGCCGCCCCACCCATATTTCCACCCACACTTTTCCTCTTTATCTTCGCCGGTTAATGGGAATCCGTGGATGAGAAACAGGCAAATTGCCCGGTTTTGGCATCAGCAGCACTCACATAGATACACACTAATACGCCCGCACACTCACTAAATTTTTAATCAAGCTTGCCAGCAGCTGTGATTCCGCTGGTGGAAGCCATTTTGGAGCTGCCCCCTCCCCCTTTTGGCCCCCCTAATGTTCGTCCTTGGAGAGCGCAAAAAATGCAATCAACGTCAAATGCGCTTCGAAACTTTGTGCAAAATAATAGAAAAGCCATTAATTTCACTTCTCGTCGAAGATGTTACGAAAATCGGGCAAAAAATGCGGGAAAAAAAAGCTGGGGCGTCGGTTTGTCTGTGGGCGTGGCCTGGACATATGGCGACATTGCCTGGGAACCAAAAAAAACAGCGGAACCGAAAAGAAAATTTGCAATGAAAGCTGCTGGTGTGCCAAAGAAAAGTAATTTTTAATTATGCGCATAACGTGAGTCAAACTTTGATTGGAATTACACGAAATCCGATTAATCGCTCGCTGCGCATCCGTTTCCCATTCTCAGTTCTCTTGGGAAAAGTTTTTCCAGCTCTTAGAACCCCTCTTTCCACCCACAAATGATGCAAAGTTCTCGGCTCAAACAATTTTCATTAGCAACAACAAAAACCGCTAATTTCACTTACAATTAGCGGTAAGCCAACATGTCGCATCAGTTGGTCTAGTCGGTGGGTGGTGGAGAGGCCACTCCACATATAACGACCAAACAAGTTTTCAACTAAAATTACCAACAAAAAAAAGTAAAGAAGAGTAAGAGACATTTGGTAAAATTATGAAAGGGATACCCTAATGTGAAGATGCGATTATAAGACTTCTATAAAATATGCGTGCCGAATGAAAATATTTTATAAAATATATTTATTTACACTCAGAAAATGAATCGCCCTGAATTTTAGAAAATCGCCTATGGATTTGCTTCACTGGCGATTTTTTTCTTTAAAATAAAAAAATTTTCTACTGGTAAAGAAAATTTTCTTCCAATTAATCAAAATACATTAAATTCAAGAAATATTCCAGAAATATAGAAAAAAATCGCCAGTAAAGCAAATCCATAGGCGATTTTCTAAAATTTTTTTTTGAGTGTAGTCGAATGTACAAGGACTTTTCGTGAGTGATAAAACTAATATGTTAATAACCAAACTAATTGCAAAAACTTTAAGTACAGTTGTTTCCAAATTTGAGAAAATTTTGAACAAAGTATGTAAGTCCTAAAACTTCAACATGTAGTACGTCCAGCCATAAAGATTTACATTCAGTTCAACAACCGACCTCGTACAGTAAACACCTCTATCTTTTTGTACATTTTTAGTCATAATGTTTTTAAAAGTTTTATTTCCAAATTTTCATACTTCTCATCATGAATCATTGATAGAAGTGAAAGAGAATTACAAAATTAAAGATCTTAAATTTCAGTTGGAAAAGTTAATTAAAATACCATTAGGACGTTTACAAATTTCGTATTTTGATAAGATCCTTGCGGACGACATTCTTGTACACAATGCCTATGACAAGGTGAAGGACCTCGTGGTACGGGACAACGATAAGTGGTTAGGTCTCTTAAGAGGTATGGATGATGTCGAATTCCAAATGATGGTTCGGGATATGGATTTGGAAGCAAGCTGTAGTTCCATGACAGTTCCAAGTGGTCTTTCGGACGTCAGCTCCAGTAGCTCCAGTGCCCGCAGTCCCCCGGAGCGTCGATGTTCTCCTCTTGATCCCTGCGCTCTTCATTGCTGCGAAGCAGGCCTCGATCGTCCTCCGTACGCGCGTGTTAATCCCGAGGATCGTCGGTATGGCGTTGTTATAATGAATGAATGCGATCCTTGTGATTGCCGTTTTAATTCTGTCCTCGAGTTTCTGGCCCGTGCCTTTCATGACGCGGAGGACGTTGCCTCGCTGAGCTTCAGTGAGTGCACCGCGGCCGTGTCCTTCGACTGTCTACTGGTGATGGTCTGCAAGGATAGCGACACCAGCGACTGGCTTATCCGCACAATGCGAGCCATGAGCCCACCCTACAAGTGTTCCAACTTCATAAAACACTTTGAACTGGTGCGCTGCTCCTTTGTGATTCCGATGGTCAACGAAGAGAAGCTGTGTCGTGTATTTGGCATTATAGAAAAAATGAATGCCTGCCTCGATACTAAGAAATGGTGTGTCGTGCGACAGACCCTTTTGGAAACCTGCTCGGAGGATTACGCTTCGAAAGTGATTTACAAGGGACATAATAACTATGAGGTTGTCGTCTACATGGACAAGGCGTCTAGGGATCACATCCTCAATAAGTGCGGGAAAATAAAGTTCCTTATGTGGCACTTGCCGGTGGACTTCTGCACCGCCTTGCCATGCCAATGAGTTTCCAGATGTCGAGTTCACCCTGTAGCAATCCATGAGATTCATTGACCCAGGACCGTCGTTTGTGGTATTCCCAATGAGCTTCCAGATGTCGCATTTCCCCTGTTGTCCTCGCAATGGTGGCAGTCCATGAGATTCTTTGCCTCAAGATCGGCGTGGCATTGCGTCCTCTTTGTACAAATCAAGCATTATATCGAAGATAAAAGTTCTAGACGTTAAAATTAATTTGCTTGTTATAGCGAGTAGTATTTATAAAGACTTTAAAATACTAAACAAAAAAAAACCCTTTTTTTGCCACCCAAGAAGAGTAATAGAAAGTGTGCTTGCAAGTGTTGAGTTCACACAATTTGTTTAACATTTATGAGTGACAATGGGCAGTGGCCTTGCCGTGGGGAAAACGCTGGGGGAAAAGAGGGAAAAAGGGGGGTGTTGGCTGGCTGGTTGTAGTTGAGCCAACAGAGTAGTTATGTAATACAAAGTTTGCTCAACGGTCAGAGGTAATGCAATAAGCTACTTTTTCAAACTGCTGCTTCGCCTCGGACTCCATTAAAGTTGTCAAATGAAGTCGAAGTTTGATTGCCTGGGGCAAGGCACTGACCTGCTCCCAGTTTCCTTCCCATCAGCATGCCTCTCGTATCTCCTCGTCCACAACTATTCCCGTGTTGACATGGACTTGATGCTGTCCTGGAGATTAGTGAAATGTCCTGTGATGTTTTCCTGTTAAACGCCATCGCAGCGTAGAAGAGTATTTATAATTGCCAGCCTCGGGGCTTCGACTTGTGCGAATCCGGTCGGATAAATGGGGCAGTCAGCCCAAAAGCCTCCCCCTCCGAGGGTTGATTGACAAGTTGTTTCAGGTTGGCTAGTTCCGAAAGGCTGGTTAGCATGGAGTGGAATGAATAAGCAGAAAGCTGAATTATGTAGTCGGTCAACAGTTAAGTATGCTCACCGAAGTGTAAATAAATGTATATTTAAATTAAAATCTGAAATTTAAGAATGATGGTTTCATATATTTTTTAATTTATAAAAAATATTTTACTTTCTATATCAGAATAAACCATTTGCTTTATTTTCAACTGAATAAACGAACTAGTAATTTATTTAATTCAAGAGATATTTATTAGAATGCTTTTTTTTTTCTTTCTACCATAAGATAATATGAAACTTGTTGGAAACTAAATTATTTACATCTAGATATCATATCCCATCTGTGATCAAATTACAGACCCACATGCAAAATGCATTTCCTGCGGCAAGCAAACTTTGCCACCAACTCTCTAGGAAAGATCTCCATCTCCTGCTTCGGCAAAACTCCTCCCAGTACCCAGTACCCAGGACCATCATATTTTGCCCCAACGGTGTCTAACAAAGCAATTAGAGCCACGGATACGCCAACACCGTTTGAGTTTGCTAAGTAAACGTTGCCGAGACGCCCTGAGTTGGCCCTAGGGCAGCATATTCATTAGGCGACGAGGCGGCGGAGGATTAGAGGAGGAGGTGTCTGTCGTCGGTACGGGGGGCGGATTTCTTCCCAGCTAAAGGAAGTGCGAGGGTTTTCGTCAGGATGGCGACCTCCCTCCTTCGGCTGCCTTCTTGATGGCTGGCTGGCCCAACTTATGGGTCACTTGTTCAAGAAATTTCACAAAACTTTGCCAACTGTTTGTTGTTATGGCCAAGGAAGGAAAAGGGACCGACGGAGGGTGGAATATTTAGAGAGCGCGGGGAGTGGTTCGCGTAATGAGGGAGTGACTAATGAGAGACTTGGACTGGCACAATGAATATAATTAAATGAGTCCAAGGTGTAAACTAGCGAATTGTTTGATCCCATTCACTCAGCTCGGAGTCACCGTCCTCACTTCAACCTCACCCACTATCCCTTCTTTTTCCTGGCGTCTTTTTTTCCCGTATCCTTGCCGCCAGCCAACTTTTTGCCTGTTCAGCTAAATGTTGTTAAACTTTCATCTTGGGCTCAGCACTTTTCAAACAGTTTTTTTTCTGGCGTTTTTTTCGAATTCTTGTTCCCTGCCTGGTGGGCATTTTTCAGTCACCGACTTGCTCCAGTTAGCCAACTGTCAGTCAGTCACTTGATCGTTTAGAGCGTGACAGGTGGTATTCTGGTTGGGTAGGGTCGTAATTTATAATACTGTATAATGGGGAGATAATAAGGGATAAATAAATAAAGATAAATGGGGTGTTATGGTATTGTACTTAGCACTTGTTAAGATCTAATAAAAAGTATATTAGCTTTCTCGATTCATGATATTTAGTTGGCAAATAAATATTTAAAATGAATTTAAATCTATATTTTCTATCTTAAGTTATATTTAAAGAACACTCATAAAACGCTTAATTTTGGAAGCCCCAATTAACATAATCTATTAATTATTTAAGCTGTCTTGTAATCCGCTTTCAATCCTGTGTAGTATATTTTCTTACAGCCAATGAGTTGTAAAATACCTTAAGTTCATTTTTATGGGTTCTGCAAACCTCCTAATAAAATCGAAAAACTCTCTTTCCGCTGCCCTTTACCTTTAGTGTTTTGCTTATTAATCAGCAGGATAATGAGTTCTGTTCTTCTGTCAGCGAAGAGAGAAGGAAAAACCCAAAGGGTCCCGTGACAGTTGCAGTTTAGTGTCTAATTAAAAAGTTCTCGTTCGTGTGTCACCCGGCTAAGCAAAAAAAATCTGAAAAAAGCGACTCAAAGTCGAGGCAACTTTCTATGGCACCACTTTCGCTGTCCCCCGGAGATCCCAATGAATATTCTTGTTCTGCAATGACGACGATGATGAAACCTGTTTCCGCTCCTCCGCCTTCTCGAATCTCTTCTCGGATTCGGCCCTCCACTTTTTATGGTAATGAATGGGTCAGGCAAAAGTAGAGCTTTGATTTCTGATGCTGGTGCTAACCGCAAAAGGAAATAAAATACCGGCAACGAATACTAAAGAAAAAGAGCAACAATTTCTTGGTGCGACATTGGACCAATGTATTTCTGGGGTTTACTGCTCGTCTATCGTGTTTTACCTTACCTTACCTTGCCCATTTCTTCAGTAATTCTATTGACCTTATTCGCAGGTGTCTGTCCATAAGTTTTTTAGATTGTCTCTGGGAACCCACATTTCTCTGCCGTACAATTGCAACTCTCAGAATGAAGGGTTTTTCCAGTGCAGCTTGTGGCTTTCACTTCACTTCACTTTAGTTCTCACCTGCAGATTTTTCAATGCACTTTATCGGTGTTTGGATTTCTCGTTCCGCTGTTTGTTTGCAGTTGTTTTTAGTTGGATTGTTAACAGAATTAAGTTGTCTTTTTTACACACAATGGAAACAACTGTAATCTAATCAACTATACCACTAAAAATCTATAAGTATTATGAAAAACCAATAACTGTATGATATAAAGCTGGTTTTTATGAATAATATAGATGGTAAATCAGTTTTTGCCATGTTGTAAAAAATGCTTGTTATGTATTTATTCCATAGAAACTGATAAATCTGTGTGCCAGTGTGTTAAAGCTTCGATCGGAGCCAAAAGCCTTTGTTGTTTTGTAATTGTTTGTGCTGTTACCACACACATTTCTTCGGCTCGAATGCGTGTGAAATATTTCGATAAATGTTTGTGGATTTGTGCGAGAGTATGTCAGCGAACTGAGATTTTTGCACTATTTTTCTGTGTGTGAGAGAGTGTGTTTCTGTGTTGGCCCGCTGACCGATGTCGGTCTTTTTATATCTCTGTTTTTGTTTTCCTTTTGCCCTGCTGCACTTACCCCTTTTCCCATTTCCCCATTTCCCCAGCCATCCATTTTCACTCCTCGTCTCTTGGCGTTAACTTTTCCACGCATTGATGACGAATGGCCATGGAAAATGATGAATGTTTAATAAGGCAGTGGGACAGCAAAAACATTTTGAGGTAACATATTGATGGGGCGGGGGTTGCAGTCGAGTTTCAGTTCAGTTTCAGGTTGATCGGGGGGATAATGGTGGGTTGGGTTCGGTTTGGTTATGCATCATGGAGCGGTTCGTTGCCAAAAACTTTCAGATTCTCACATGTTCCAATGTCAACAAAGTTGCCGGAAAATATTGTGTAGAAATTCAAGCGAGATGCATTTTTAACTTTGTATAAAAACTTCAGTTGGAAATTGTAGGGGAAATAGGAATGAGTAACGTTCGCTATTTACTATATAACATTTGCAATGATTAATATTCCATAGCGCTTGTAATTCCATTTATTTTTATAGCAAGTGCTCGCATTCTGGATTATTTATACAGCAGTTTGTTGAAAATATTCAAGCATTTGATAAGCATTTGGATTACCCTTCAAGTGCTGAAAGACCCAAAACAATCAAGAGATCATCCGAAGAATGATAAAACACTTAGCCCCTCAAGAACTATATCCAAAGTCAAGTGATCTCATTAAGTCTAGACCCCTTTTCTTTTTTTTTTAATATACTTTTGAGTGTTTCCTTTAAGATTCTCGTGAACTTATCTAGAGTACCTCGCATTTTGTTTGCGCTAAATTCCCTGCGGAATTTATGTAGATATGTGGGTTTCTGTTATAAAAATTGCTCCACTTGCCTTGAACACTCCCCCATTTCCCGCGTTTTTCCCCCCTTTTAGCAGGTCGTTTATCACATTTTTTCCCTGGCTTAAGCAAGTCTATCAAAAATATGTATTCGTAATTGCAGTAAGAGTGAAGGAGGGAAGCGGGGATGATGGGAAAAACCAGCGTTGAGGTTGAGGAAAAGCGACATCGTTGAATGATGTCATATTCGCACAACCTCACTCTTTTTCTGTTTGTCTATCTGGCTTTAACGATTTGGCCAAATCAAATCCAACGGATCGGGCAAAATCAACTAAAACTCAAACCTGCCCAAGGCACCCTTTATGAATCAGTTACCAAGGCGCTGATGCTGCAATAAAAGGTGCGATTTATCATAATGGCTGACGCATGTAGCACACACACAAGATGGTAGCTCTCCCATTTCCCTTGCCACCTCACCTCCCTCCTCTGCCACTTTTATATATTTTGCAATATAACGCAATGGTTCCTGCTGTGGATTGTGTGGATCCATCGATTTCATTTCTTGCCATTTTCCGCATTTTTCACAAATCTGTTTTTCCACACTCCTTCGTTTATGGCCTCTTCGGAGGCTTGTGCATATACAAGAGTGTGTGTGGAGTTATCTGAGGCAGCAGCCAGACGCCAGTTCATATTGATTACAACAAATTTGCCGTCGCCATTCGTTTGGAGTTGTCGCCGGCTTTGAAAAAAGAAACAGAAAGAGAGAAAAAACGTGATTAT